AGTGGAAGGTATGTGGAAGACCAAAAGCAGGTTGATATGGAGAAGGATAGTGTACTTCTGACGTCACTGTTCAACAATATCAGATGTAGAAGAGGTTATGTCTATGCCAGAGGGCACTGTCGACAGATTATATGATGGTGAGTTTCAAAGTTCTCTTATTCATTAAAGTCTCATAATGATGTTCCAGACAGACTTGTATGTGAACCATGAGAGATGTAAAACTTTGCTTTGAAATATAAATTATGCGAAGTATAGCACAAATAATACGCAATTATTTTTATCAAACAGTAGCATAATTTGTTGAGTGTGTCAAAGAAAAGGAATGGATTTGAAGATGGTTAAGTCGCCAGTATTTAAATCTTTTTATGAGTATAACCTTTTCAACTGTTGATCAATTTCAATTGAAAGTCTATTCGCTTGTGTTTTTGTAAATAAGTGTACAATACCCACTTTTCAATTTATTGCTACGTGACCGAACATGTTACTGACAAGAAGCTGCAAGAAGCATTTTATATCAGCGTGTTATTAATCTAAATAAGATCGCTGATACGTTGTTTTCGTTAAGACTAATATCCTGATAAATATTTATACCGGGTTTGCTGATATATATATTTCGATACTCTAACCCTGAAAATAGAATTGTTTGGATTATAGATTCATATGTTTAGATATTTATGCGATGTTTCTCTTATAGAGTAGTTTAAAATGCATCTCGACTGCTTCAGCATATTTTATCACTATTATCATCTACGTTGTTGATAATACTGCCTACATATTTTGTATTTTACGTTTTCGTATTTGTTTAAAGCATTATTTTTTCCAGAGCCTACATGGGAAGCTTCATCTCATCTACCTCATCTTATAAATCCATGAGACACCTCGTACTGTAGTATTTATTTATTTATTATATTCTAATGATTTTATATATTTTATTTTTATAATAAAACAGTAATTTTTCAGTATCTAGCTGTTTATACATTTTTTGACTGCGCAATTAGGTTTTCATTTTTATCGTGACACTATTTTGGTGGTAGTGCACTATAGAACTTACAAACGTGTATAACTCTTCCGTCCGTCGGTGTGTCTATCGTTCGTTATTGTACGTTTCTCTTGATTATTTTGGAAAGAACTAACGGGGGATTGGAAATTGTAAAGTTTCACAACTAAGGATGTTCTTTATCTCAGATATGCGTTAACTCAAACTGTGCAGCAATTTTAAACTACGATGACAAAATACTCTTCAAAATGTCTAAATTGAAAGAAATGTTCTTACAAACATATTAATGCAGCCTAGAGCATTAGGTGGATGCACAGTTTGTAAATAATTGCGAACCGCTACACTGAAATGCGCTGGTGCACCATCATGCATGTACCACATGTTGTTTATTATTACTGATGGAACACTATCAAGCAGCAAAGGCAACTGTTGTTGCCTTGGATTAAATCAACGGGAAGTAATGCCTGTACTCTTAAAATATGGTAAGAATATAACAAAAAACCCACTAAAATTCTCCAAAAAATTTGATGGCAAATATTTAAGTGTCTAGCGATCTTCCTCGTACTCGTTTCAGGATGTTCTTCGACTTCGTGCAGCACTGCTTCCTCAATTTCAGGTATTCTCACACTAAGAGGTCTACCTTCAGATATTCCTTTTAGGACAGAACCAGTTTCAACAAGACGACGATGAATATTAGACAAGGTTCGACTATTTGGCAAAGCATGCTCGGGATATCTCTGGTGATAAGTCCGTCTGGCTTGCTCACCATTACCGTCGGCAAGTCCATATACTTAATGCATTTCCGCCATTTCTGCATTTGAATAATACACTATTGATAACAAGATTGTAAAAACTAAATAAGGAATAAGATGTCACAGTGAACAAATTTGAATACTTCTTAGATGTCAAAAGCCAGTGACATATTCCTCACCAACTAGATATTTATTGCTAAATTGCATTCTTCAATTATTACATTAATTTTCTCGGACAATAGAACTGTTTTTATTTTTTTACTCAAAAACGGCGCATCAAAAGAAAAAAATTCAAGGGAGATCATTTGTTTTAAATTCAACGGGAAATTCAAAAATAAGTTTTTATTTGGCAAAAAACCATTGACGTACCATTTTTTTCTTAAAAAATATCGAAGTCAATACCCGTACGCACGCCACTGTTGAAGCTAAAAATTATTTTGCATTGAAAAATATGCAACTTTATTAACTTTCACTACGCACTAAATATCAGTGAAATATCTGAAGCGGTTCTGAAAATGTTATTTAGTTCCCATTTTTTCCTAAAACTTCAACACCCCGAGATTTTGTAAGGAAACATTTTTGGACCATAGTTTATAAAGCAAAGTAACATTAATTTTTCATGTAGATTCGCACCTTTAAATATTCGCATATCATTAAGGAACACCCTGTATAATAATAATTATTTTCACGCTGAAAACTTTGCTTATAGAGCCCCTTCTGTATTTTGCACAAAACCAGTACGTATATTGTATAATATTCGCATGAAAAAACACATAATCTGCGAATAACAATGTTGAACGGAGGCAGGCGAGTTGTCAGACAGGAGTCCAGCAATAAAAACTGTGAGTGGCGAGCAAGAAGTCGCCATATTAAATCGACATTTCATTATCAGCATTCTGTGGGCAATAAGCATGTCGATTTGTATCCTTGCTGTATGCGGTAGGTAACTGCAGAGCCAGGCAAGGTAAATGTTGATGGTTACAGAGGTGGTAGAGATGGTGTCAGTATTACGGTCAATGTTCGAACGACATAAGGGTTTCGGGTTTCCACTCAGTATTGCCAGGTATATTCGATCTGTTTTCAATAGATATGTGCAAAATTTTTCGGTATATTTGGGTGGACATTAACCCAAAAAGCAAATACATGCCGATGATCAGGGTTGCGATGATTTAAATCAAATGATTTTTCAATTTTAACCGTGATTTAAATCAAACTATAAATTGCTGTAAAACAGCCATCGAAGCAAATAACTAAAATGCAAAACTGGAAGATGGTTTATTTAAAACTAAGAGTATAGGTACATAAATTATGTAAGTTTAAGAGCATAACTAATCCTCAGCAGTACAACGTAAATATTCATAAATTAAACTTAAGAAAAGCTTACAACAAAAAAACAGTCTATAGTTTATAATACTACCTACATAAATAAATAACAAGTAAAAGTTACTAATATATACATAAGTGGTATTATAATATGTACAATGGACAAAAACGTTCCTCAGGCTAACATACCAAGAGCATAAGCACAAAATAATATGTGTTCAAGAAGTAAATTAGGGCGTCCAATCCATAAGCAGTGCTGAGAGTCTAATACGAGGGATGTCTTTTAAATTTTGCAAATGGAAATAAAACAACACGGTAGGTAGTTAAATGACTTGTTTTTCGAAGTATTCTCCACGAAGATTAATACACATCTGCATGCGCTCGAACCAATTTTCAAAGCACTTATTCCACTCGTTTGCTGGCAGATCCAAAATGGCATTTTTGAATGCGTCAACTGCTTCTTCTGGTGACTGGAACCTTTGACCACGCAGTCTGTTTTTAATTTTCGGAAAAGTAAAGAAATCGTTAGGACTTAGATCGGGACTATATTGAGGACGGTCCAATAATTCCACGTTTACCTCCGTTAAATACTGCATTGTTTTTTGGACTGTGTGCGAGCTTGCATCGTCTTGGTGGAGGATGATTCTTCTTTCGGGGTTGATTTTTCGAGCTCGGTGATGAATTTTGGCAAACAAATGGTGGCATACCAATCCGCAGTAACAGTTCTTTGCTCATTAAGAGGAATTGTTGTAATATGACCCGCTTTTGACACATATGTCGCGACCATCTTTTTCGAATCTTTTAGAGAACGGATGACTTTTGTTGGCTTTTCTTCACCTTGGAACACCCAAACAGCCGACTTTTGTTTATTTTCTGGCTCATAACAGTAAATCCACGATTCATCACCACTAACAATGCTGTACCCATTTTTTGAGTTTCCGGAATTGAAACGGTCAAGCGTTTTTTGACACCAATTGACCCTGGCTGATTTCTGCTCTTCAGTCAACAGGTGGGGTATCCAAAGAGAAACTAATTTTCTTACTCCTAATTCTTTATGTACAATTTTTTGAATTGAGGTCTTTGAGATCTTCAAGGACGCCTCAATCTCGCAACATGTCTATCTTCAATGATGAGTTTGTGCACAACATCGACGTTTTCCTGGGTGACTGCCGTTTTTGGTGCACCCATCCTGGAATCGTCGCTAAGACTCACTCGTCCACGTTTGAATTCTCCATACCAACGGGAAATTGTCGACTGATGTGGCGCTTTGTTGCCGAAAACAGACAGTAACTCAGCAAGGGATTCTTGTTGCGATAATTGTATCTGAAAGGTGTAATAAGTTATGGCGCGAAAATGTTCTCGGTTGAGTTCCATTTTTCTAATGATTTGGTGACACTTAAAAATTCACTGTAGTGAGAACACTGCACGTATTGTTGTGAAACTTTGAATTTAAGTTTACTAAAGAGTGAGGTTAAGATTCAATAGAGTAAAGTCGCCATATATGGAATAATCGCCTAATATGGAATATGCCCTTATCTTTAGAACACACACTACCCATTTACTCGATAACCTGATGCATTTATGCGCCACTTGAATGTGACAGCGCCCTAACATTACCGTGAAAAGTATCAATGACTTTATGACAGATCAATGTTTTCTTTCGCGCCTAAAATTATTGCAGAGCCGTCTACTTTTTTGTCTGAGGTGTTCACTTCAAGTCTTTTTTAACGGGTTTTACTATTGTTTACATCTGAAAGTATTACAAAATGTAAGTAACAATATTTTTGCATGCAATTTAGCGCTTGATAGAGAAAAAAAGCAATTCTGGTTATTTAAAGGTTTGGTCCTAATATGGAATAAGCACAGGGTCTCAATATGGAATGTATTCCATATTAGGAACAATTTTTAAAGCATAACTTTCTTTGCAGAAACACAATGTCAGATGCATTAAATACGAAGAAAAGGAAATTATGGAAATGTGAGAGGATGATTGAAGCAGTTTTAACAGTTAAGGAGAAAAAAATGGGCTATTTAAAGGCTTTAAAGGAGTTTAATGTCCCGAGAACGACTCTATTTCGCTTCTGTTAAAAAGAAGGCATACCTAGTCAAGTATGTAAAACTAAATTAGGCAGAAAACCTATTCTACCCGAAAACTTAGAAGAGGAGCTTGAAAAATATTTGCTTTTCATGGATAGTCGTTATTTTGGTTTAACTAGAACTGATGTGCGTCGATTGGCATATCAACTAGCAGTAGAAAATGGATTAACGCATAGATTTTCTGCACATCTTCAGCAAGCAGGAAAGAAATGGCTTAGTTCATTTTTGCGTAGGCATCCTAGACTCTCCCTCAGAAAACCAACAGGTACCTCCGTGGCTCGGGCGTTGAAAAATGTTGACAAGTTCTTTGATCTCCTTGAAAATGAAATGGAAGCACATCATTTTCCTGCAGATCGAGTGTTTAACTGCGATGAAACTAGATTTTTGTGAATAAGTTAATGTGCTGACCAAATGTTTACCATACATTAAAAACGAAACTTCCTAATATACTGAAAAGTCTATTTTTTAAGTTCTTTTAAGAAAATATCCCTCATGACTTTTTAGAGTTAACCGTTTATTTTCATATTTAGTTTATTTGTGTTAGATATTCATTAAAATATTTTTATGCATTTTTTTTGTACGTTTCTTTTGTTATTTAGGTCTATCTACCCTATTCCATATTAAGATACAGTATATTCCATATTAGGGAACCATATTTCGATTTTCGCAAAATGCTACTTTTTTTCGAAAATCATATAATTTCTATATTTAAATGTTGCCATTCCTAATAGCTGTGTAAATCTTTAACCAAGGCTATTAACTAGTTCGTATGCATCGTATATCTCTTTGTTCTCAAAAATTAGATTTTTAGAATCTAAAAACAAAATGATATTCCACATTTGGCAACCTTACTCTACTAACGTTCGATCCGCGCGGCCTACTATGTTGCTATATGCAAAACTTAAATGACATCCCTCGTATATGAGGGGCCCATAGTTTATCTTGGTTGCCAACTTTAATTCCAAAATGAAGTTCGTATGCTTTCAACACAAGAGGAGTAAAAATACGTTTTTGGGATTCAAAAAATAGCTCTGCGCACACATAACATAAACTGTTCGCACTATTTACACAATTTCTAGGCATCGTCCATAAAGCTAGCCTCGATCACGATAAACTAAAAACAACACACCGTTTTAACAAAAATTAACAGTACTCAGAACATCTCAGTATTCTTCAACACAGAAAGCGTAACTGACTCGGCTTCTATTAGTCTACTAATAAACGCAATATGCTCTCTAAGCATAGAGCTCGCATATAATAAACAGGAATAGATAGGTCTTAACATTATATATGTGCGTCATCGCATAAACGCCGAGAATTGCGGCAATATGAGATGTTACGTATTGTAATTCATAAAAGTAGATGTTACCGAATATCTATAGGTGACAGAAGAATTATGTTTTTAGATTTGATTTAAGGGTCTCAAAATACATAAGATGTACTCAAAAATTGTCATGTCACAAATCCTGTGTTTATCAGTGTTGACTAACTTGGTCTGTTTAATATTTTGTTAAACGTGTTTGTAGCTAGCTTTTTTTAGAAGAGTTAACTTGCGCTGAACATAATCCCTCATGACCTGACCACAGAGTTGCGTGGGAAGTGCAGAGTTAACATACTTTACGTCATTTTTACTTCTTTCCATCTTTTTCTCTGATTTTGTCATGTATCTAAGCAACCGACAAATCTATTGACCTTCAGGTGTGAGTGTAACCAAGAGCAAAGGTCAATCTACTAGATGCCATTTTTGGATCACAAGTTGTGGGTAACACCCGTAATCAACTGGTCCTTATTTGAAAAACGGACATTGCAATTCAATGGGATGATTTTTTTGTGTATCTATTGGTTTTGTGGTTAGAATTTTGAAAATGTTTCATGTAACCAGACGTTCCATAAATAATTCAGTGAACGTGCACCTATTTTTCGAATTCGTTTTTCAAATGTAGTTAGTTTTTTATTGTAAATGGATTCTTTAATAAGGCTAATAATGGCTACATGTTTCATGTCAGGAAAAATCGAAAAAATTCTAAAATTTTCTGGGTGCCGCTTTACGATATTCTCGTATATGTTGAAATGAAACATTGCTTTAAATGACTTCGTATTTTTACCATTTTTAAGGTTCCAATGTTCATAACTTCCCCCCCCACGCTCTTCAATTATTCGTAACGGCAAAACAAGGCCCTGAATTTCTCTCTGCCGTGGGGGTTTTCAGCCTCAGGCTCTGGGCACAAAATTATTTCATTATTCTACCAATTTACTGTGATAACACAACCCACATTTCTGATAAGGTAAATTCTGCCAAAAAAACTGACATTTGCATGGGCAAACTATAGCTTCTGATTCCTACCAGGATACTTTTTCTTTGAGTTTGCCAATAAACTCAACTACTAAGGCATTTCTTGCAATTATGATTCTGAAAAGATGGATAAAACTGTAGATCGCACAGATTGTATCTTAATTATCGATTCTAGCCTCCTAATATAAATCCAGCATCAAAAGCCACACTGTCAACAATGATAAATGACCTCACGTTGCACGTTCTATCCGCCCGACCTAGCATTGTGTATAATAATTTCCCATTACAAATTGTTTTAATCTATCCATAGCATCAGATGGAAATGATACGTTGATATGCGGTTCAGTTTTTGTAGGCTGCACAATAAAAATGATTAGGTAATTACGTGACATGTTATTAATGTTATCAAAAATACTGTATAAAACGTTCTCTCTGTGTGCATATGGAAGTTCATATAGCATTAATTAAAATTACATTTTCTCATTTTCGTGACGCTGCTCGAACTGTGGAGGCAGTCGGGTAATACAGGGGTGGATTTAAATGCATTTTTAATCTACATATTCGGCAAATCGGATGTGATCACCACAACCAACACGTTTATGCAAATCAAAAAACATATTTTCTAGGAACTAGTTGCATTTGGACAACCGCATATAGAAAACTCTTCCATAGTCAGTTATGACAGTAACGATATACCTTTTTGATGCTACTACCTTGCGAAGTAAGAAATAAAATGTATAATACCCGTTACCTTTTGCATGTCTGTTCTTCTAATGAGCTGTTTATATGTCTGAAGATGTTATCACAGTCTAATCGCAAGGCTAACGGCTGCGATATAAGTTTAGAGAAAACAGATATAACAGGCTTGATCAACAAAATAATGATAGGAATTCCTAAAAGCACACATGATCGCATACCACCCCCACCCTCTGCACAAACTTTAACGCGCACAAAAAATTTACTAAAGATGACCAGGCATGAACGACAAAAAACATGCGCCACAACTGGACCGATTTTCCAAAACTACAAAGCTTGTTTATTCTTGGCATAGTAGTAACATTGTGTGAAAAAAATCAGAGCGGTACTTCCAAGTTAGATAGTGGTCAACCCCCAGCGGCCAGACAGACAGACCGATGGAAATGAGTGACATGGTTTTTTGTGATCCACATGTCATATAACATCCAAAAAACATCTCAATATCGAATTTTTTTGCTATTACTTCCTCGCCAGTATTCATTTTAGTCGGTCTGTCTGTCTGTTGGTCTGTAGGTTGATCTTTGAACCGCCTTTAGATTGGAAAGTACTGCTAGAATTTGGATGAAAGTTTCACACAAGGTTACTACTATGCCAAGGACGAGTCAGCCTGGTAGCTTTTGGAAATCAATTCAGCGGCGGCGAAGCTAGGGGCAAAAACAGGAACATAATAAAAGTCGCTCCTAATTCGTTTCACAAAATTTTTTCTAGGGGTTGAAAATCAGAGGTTGGAGGTTGTAGGGAGTGGGGGGAAGGTATCTCTCATTTTGTTGGTGGCAGTATATTTTTTGTCTTATTACGTTATAGACGAGGCAGGCGGTCGGTCGGGACGGTTCGATGCAACGGCGACTTTCATACGTCTAACCCTGCCCTGCGTCTGACAGCAGTATTTATGACATGTTAGTCTGGTATGGTCCAACAGCGTTGCCAGATGGACTCAGGGCAGAGAAGAAACTAGCGTTAGTTTGGACTATGGAGAATGTACTAACTGTATTTGGGCCTGTTTGGCTGTTTTGACCCAGTTAACTTTTTTGTTATACATGTTTGTAACTAGCTTAAAGCGACTACCTTGGGCCGAACATGATCCCTCATGAACTGATGACAGAGTTGCGTGAAAAGTGCGGAGTCAACTAACTTGATGCCATTTGTTCCTTTAATAATTGTGGAAACCTGAAAATCTAAAGACTATTTTTCGTAATTACTACCTGAAACTAGAGTTGCAGGGAAGTATTTTATAAAACTGTTTTCGTAAAATCACGTTTCAAGAAATGCAATGGCAGCTTTCTGCTAGGTTTTCTATCTATTGCAAGCAATTTCAGTTTCATGTAATGAGGTTTTTTCCATGTGAGTCATATTAATAGATACTGTACGAAAACGTTAAAAATCTCGAAAGCTAGCGCCAAGTGGAAATATTTCGACAAAATTTTCAATCATAAGACTGGCATAGTCATTAGTGCAGTTTGCCGCCTAACAAAAAAATAGGTTAGACTGATACAACTGCTGTCACAGAACGGTTCTGGAACTGCGCAACACTACGTAAGAGCCGTTTTACACACAAGAGAATTACTCCGAAAATTATGGTCATAATTATGCCGAAAATTTTTGCTGTCGTATTACACGTAAAAGAATTCTTGTGAAAATTTTCATGGTAAAAATATAAAACCCGTTCTATATTATATGCGCGAGAATCGGCGCAGAGGGTTATTTCCGTGCATGTCAATATCAAATGTCAACGACAACAACAACAACATAACCTCACTTAACATTTGTGGGAGTGGTCCTGTTCGAGTCGTACGAAGGAGCGTTTATTGTTATTGTTTATTCATAATGTCGTGGAATCGGGAAGAATTTACAATGTTGTTGGAGGAGTACCAAAAATGGCCAAACCTGTACAAGGTGAAGTCACCCAATTACAAAAACAGAAAT